CCCCTGCATCAACTTCAGTGCAATGCACCTCCTTCAACTCTCTCCCTCTCCAGCTCTGTTTCCACCTAAAAGCATCCCACGGAGTGACTCTAAGACCAAAATCAGTGTTTCCTAACCCCAAACTAGACACTGCTCCTTCACACAAGGCTTTTGCATCCAATTCTTGAAGGACCAGTTGAATCAAAAGCCACAACATGATAGACCTCATCCAGGTTTATTTCAAAATAAAGTAAGGACCTGGAAGTGATAAAGTGTACTGAAGTTCTACTAGTTGCAGTGGTGATGTGCTGTAGTTTTTCAGCTCTCAGGAAACCCAGATAAACGAAAGATTTTAGGTAATCATCTTCTGGTGGGAAAGAGTGCAGACTAGAGAAGAAAGCGCTTCTCTGTTTCCTTATGTAGCAGCATCATTTGCATGAACTTGACAAAGACTTTGCCTTGTTTTCCTGATCTTGAAAAACATCTTTTTAATGAAAGGTGTCAGCTGAAAATAATGACTGATTTTTGCCTTCACTTCACTTTCATTATTAGTATAGTTAGATATTGTAAAAGGTTCATTATTCCATTCTCTATTTGACTCTCAATGTATTTTCTGCCATTCCAAAATGACCTTTCATTGAAATACTTTTTCTTCTGAAAACATCGGGGATAAAACAAAAAATGAAAATACAGAGTATCAATACATTTTTATGGCTGGGTTTCTATTCTGCAAAATACTTGTATTTTAGCTGTTGAAGACCAGGTGTAGCATCTTGTACTGTCATGTGTCACTACTCATATACCAGTCAAGTGTCTGTTTGTTGTACTGTGCCTTCCCTCCTATCAAATCCTAAGCTGAGCAGAAATAATCAGGCAAATCCTTAGGGTAATGCTGGGAGTTAAATGTAGATGTACCAAAAGAGTTTCAGAAGGCAGAGGAGAAGTGAGAACAGCAGTGACTATCAAAAAACAGTAAGGGATGGAGCTGTATGAGACTTGACCACATGTCAAGGTTTGCCCATGGGCAGTGGAGGAGTTTATGCACATCATAGTTGCTCTGCACAGAGAGTGATGGGAGAAGTGATGATGGGGACAAGGTGTATTAATAGGTTTCAAAAGGTCTTAGTGGAGAAAACCACATGCTTGTGAAATACAAATCTAACCTCAACACAATGATACTGGTCTTGATGGCCTTCTGGGCCTCTTTCCATCTGCTGCATTTCTGCCTCCTAAATCAATCTCTTAAGAACACAATAAAATAATGCTTCTCTATCTCCAAAACTAGTCCTGTCATGGCTAAGTGAAAACCTTGCTGCTTGTATTAACATTCGTTAATGTGCTATGAAACAAAAAGAATATTGTTTCTTTTTTGGAGGAGTTCCTTGTTTGCATTGTTTTAATGCTTCCCCCCATATCACCTCATAACTGCAACAGTTCTATTAATAGGACTTAGTTGTGTCTGACTTATCATGCACAGAGTTACATCCTTGATTGAGGTGTCATGGATTTATAAGAAATAATCCCTAAGATATGAAGCTGTGAATGACATTAACAGCTCCAAGGGGTGTGTGCATCCCTCTTGGTGTCTCTGGACAAAACCAGCCTCATGTTGTTGTTTAGGCAAAGAGGACAGTAGCATTAAGGCTACAGCTGATGCTACAGGAAACAAGGTGATGATTCCCTAAAGCCGAGTTTGCTAAAACATCAGCAAAGCTGGCATCACAATTCTCATTTATTATGGAAAGGTTTTAATTCAGACAACTGGTGTCTTCAAAGAACGTGCAGCACAGTCCGCACATGAGAGCAGGAGACAAGTGGAAAGAGATGGGCAGTCAGCAGCTCTGTCTGTCATATGGATTTGTACCAAATGCCACCACAGTGAGCCTTGGTGCTGTGGATGCTTGGCACTCGTAGGAATGTCCTTGCTTTAAAACCGCAGTCGCCAACAGCAAAAATGACAGGGGAAACTCAATTCTTCTGAAGTGCCAGTATATTTTAAACAAACAAGCAAACAAACAAACAAAACCCCAAGGGAAATCATCCTAGTCTACTTCCAAGGAACTGGAGAATGCAAAGCCATATCTGGGAGATCAAATTCACATTAAGCCTGTGAGCAGGTTTTGCAGCCTCCAGCTTTGGGTGGTGAGGTCTACTATGCTGACTGAGCTCAGAGAACTGTGGAGTGATGCTGGTGGGCAGTGGTATAAGTACCTGGGGCCAGGAGTGGGTCTGGGCATCAGAGATACCACTGGGGACTTTCACTCCCTTGGATGACTGTTGCATTAGAGCAGCAGAAGCAGAGTGGCCTCAGAGCATGGATATGGGCTCACTGCAGCTGCAATGCATTTGTACTCATTTGTCTTAGCCTGACCCCATTTTTCTATCCTATCCTCTAGGTCTCTCCTGCCTGCTGTTTCTGGGGTGGTCCTCATGGACACAGAGAACTGTGGAGTGATGCTGGTGGGCAGTGGTATAAGTACCTGGGGCCAGGAGTGGGTCTGGGCATCAGAGATACCACTGGGGACTTTCACTCCCTTGGATGACTGTTGCATTAGAGCAGCAGAAGCAGAGTGGCCTCAGAGCATGGATATGGGCTCACTGCAGCTGCAATGCATTTGGACTCATTTGCCTTCTACTTGCCTTAGCCTGACCCCATTTTTCTAGCCTATCCTCTAGGACTCTCCTGCCTGCTGTTTCTGGGGTGGTCTTCATGGACAACTCAACCCTTGCTGTTGGTACATGGAGGTGGCTTTGATTTTGTGTGCTCCACACCATTCTGAGGGAGAGGGACGGGAAAAAACCCAACCCAGTCGCCTTCAGTCTAAACATAGCCCAGGGCTCATTTCATCCATCTTCAATGATACCTTGTGGCTGGGTAAATGATGACTTGGCTTTTCCTACAGCTCCCTGGTGGTATGTGCTGAGAGGAGAGAAAATAGCAGCACCCACCACCCACACATCTCTGCAGTTTTCCTGAGAGGAAGCCATGCCTGGGTGGTAGGTCTGGTTAAACTGTCTGTCAGTGCCTTGCCAGCTGTCACACATGGTCCTCCAGCTCTGGGTGATGTTTTTATAGGATCCATGATTAGAGGTGAGGCTCAGTCAGCCCTTCAGCTCAAACCTTCCCTTTGATCAAGCCATGGAAATTTGCAGTCATCCTTTTTTTGCTCTGGCACAGTTTCTCTTGATCTGCTGTCTGCCAAAGGGCTAGCTTATGCTTTCTGAATGGGACTCCTCAAATCAGAAAAGGACATCTGCATATGTGCTAGCAGCCCGCACTCATTTTATTGTCTTTGTAGAATTGACTGGTTCACTCAGTGAGAAGGTTAGTATAACTCATCTTCTCCCCAAGATTAGACCTAAAACAAGTCAAATCACAACCTAGAAGTGCCCGTTCCTTTCTACTGGTATAAAGCAAATATGGGGTCACTGACACATCTGGATACCTACATCTAAGCATAGCTGAGATGAATTCTTCCCCAAGAGCAATTCATCATAGTGATTTAAATATGAGTTGCCAGCAGGTCTGGCCTTATTTCACCCACACTGGCTATTGATGCCTGAAAAAACTCAATATGCAATTAGCTTCAGTCAAATTCTCAAAGCTTGATATAATTAGACACACTGGGCATAAGGCTGCTGCTGATAATACACCTGTATGAATGTGTTCCCCGATGGGTATTTATTTCTAATTAAACTAAGGTATGTGGATCTGGGATATGACCCAATCTAGATGATTATAATCTTCATGACAAAGATGTGGTTGGACCCTTCCATGTGTTAGGAAAGGGAAAAGCATTGTTATTCTTTTGTGGGCTCTTTTCCTTGCATTCCTTAAATGCTTCCTTCCAGACAGCCTCTTGGCTGCCACTTAGGTAACTATTTTATTAATTGGATTTCATTCAAGGCAAATCATGACTGAGAATTGCAAACAAAGTGGTAATCCTCTGAATGAACTAGTTCAGATAAGGACTGAACAGGGCAGACAGAAAAATAGTGACCCAATTTTCAACAATTGCAGGGCTTGTGATAAGTCCTGCCTTTCAAATCCACCAGATGTTTTCTGGTTCTTCCTTCTCCTAAGCCAGAAGATGCTCAGGAATAGTATGGTAGGGAGAGATAGGCAGGGCACTGGTAAGACCTATGGTATTTTGGCTGTCTGTATATACCTTCATTTTTTTCCTATAAAAGTTAGAGCTCCTTGAGCTGCTAAGGGTTTCTGGAGACAGAAAAGCAGCTGGGAGCTGTCCACTGAGCCCTGGGTGGAATAAAGATGTTGGTGTTGTCATGCTCTGCCATGTCACAGCCATCCTGGCTGGAGAGCTGGGGAGTGACAGCAACACCACCCTTTAATATTATGAAAATCCCAAGTAGATGATGAAGGGATGTGTCATGTTGCATCTCACCTTTGATAATGTACAGAAATTTCTTTCTTTCCCAGGAAGTGATCCTGTGACCTCTTATACACATGTAGGCTGTGAACATCCACAGTATCCCATGACCAGCTTCCCACAATTCGGCTGTAAGAACAAAGAACCTTCACTTTCCTTTGAGTTTGATTCATGCCAGATTCATTTATACCCCCTAGTTCTTCTGCTGGAACAGACTATGGATAGGAGATCCATAACTGCCTACAGATAAAACTCTTTCAGTGAAGTAGCCTGGGATTTACCATGGTGCTACCATAATCATATCTAGAGAAGATGTCAGTGGTGAGAATCACTTGGGATAGAGAAAGAGACTACAGCAGGGACACAGGAGCAGCAGAAGAAAGGACAAAGGGAATGGGAAGCCTTGTACTGGGAGCAGAGGTCCTAAATTCAAGGCTGTTGAATAGGTAAGGTGGAGGAGGAAAAAAGAAGAATCTACCAGCTCATTAAAACTATTTTATTTCATTTATGGGGCAGTATTTTTCATGGACCTCATAAGCACCCAGAACCATAACACAGAGACTAATCCAGTGGTCTTATTTTCTTCAATTTTCTGTTTTTAATCTGGCTTTTATTCTTTGTGTCTTCCAGGTTGAATTCACCCCTGATCAGATTGAAGGTGAGGAAGATGTGTTTCTCTTCTGTTCACAGTAACTACCAACACTAGGAGGTGCTGGAAAGTGCAGGGGTGGACATGGGTGTGGTATCAGAGCTCCCTTGAGAAGGAAGTTGGCTCCCATGCTTTAATTCATGGCTTTGCTCCTGTTCTGTCCATTCTTCAAATCCTCTGTTGAGTTGGTCAAGAGAAAAGGGGGAAAGTCATGCCTCATGCAGATTAGATACTTATTTCATTAAAGAAAGCATCATTTTCTCTGACAATGAGGCAAAACCAAATAAAAAAAGCAAAAAAACCCCAAATACACTCTCAAAACCTCAGTCCAAATATATACTTTTTCTTTAAGAAAACCCACTAAGAAAATACCAGTCTTTTCAAGAGAAAGTCTCCCAACCATACTTATGAGAAATTCTCCCTGTATTCAATCAGAATTTAATGTGCTACATTTTTGTGACATCTCTCCAGAAACCAGCAAATTAAGACAGCGATGGTGGGGCTTTTTTATTTCAAAGTAGAACATCAGCATTAGTTTCTGAACCCCTTGTCCCAACCCAAGAAACTGATACTGAAACTTCATGCATGAAGTCCTGGGAACGCTACCACTGCAGCTGTCCCTTTTTTTTTCTCAACTACCAGCCTGCTTTTTACTTAAAGCGATAATTGATAGTTGGAGTCAAACATCTGGCAGAATTTTGCATTGGTCTTTAAACACTTGGCAGAATTTGATAGAGCCTATGAAAGATGGCATCGGAAAATGAGTTAATTAGATGAAGAAAAAAATCACAGGCTGATTGGAGAGGTAGAGAAGGAAGGATTTTCTGAACTGGAACCAAATGCCACAATGCCTTAGTCGTTGAAGCTTTGCCACACACTTCCAACATTACCCTGGTATTTTCAAACCCCCTTAATGGCTTTATTTTCTGTTTTCTAATAACAGGTCGAAAATAACACATAATTGGATGCAACTGCTAATTTCTGGGAAACCTGCGCCTTTCTGAGTCCTAAAGTAATGGGAGAACCCATAGGAGAGGCACAATTCTGTGTCGCAAACCTCTGAACTATACCAGCAGCACACAATATCTGAATCTTCTATCAGTTAACGTTTTCGGGATTACAGAGAACCCACCTAGTTCCTATGTCTTGCTACTCTCCCTGTAGTTCTGAGAAAAATTAGCTCTAGAGACTTTATCAAGAAATGGGAGAAGAAGAAGTCTCTTCAGAGAACAGACTTATGACATAGGATGTCCTTGAATACCAAAGGGAAAGCCATGGGACAGGAAGCAGATAACATCATCTATGAGAGAAAGGCTATGAGACCTCCACATCCGCTACAAGAGCATATCAGAGTTATATTCACTCCTTGGTAGAGCTTAGATGCTTCAGGTGTAGAACTGTATCTATGGCACGTTTGCCCCTGGATTGTTCCTCTGTACTAGTTTGCTCATGTCAAAACCTTGGCAAGAAATGTGCCACCAGTTTAGGAAAGTGGACAATCGACATTCCAGTTCTTGAGACTGTTTTATGTTAAAAGCATAGGTTAGAAAGCAAGCACCACTTGCCATGATTTATAGCTCTTATACTGGCTGTTGGCATGACTTGAGAGTTGGAACTTAGAGGAGCTCTAGATTAAGACATCCTTTTGATTTGTTTTCTCCTTCCCATTCTCTCCTCACCCTCTCAACTTTCCAAGATTTCCAGCTCTCCTTTTCTTCTGGGTTTCAGGTGCACTTGTTTGGTTCTGGGTTCTTTTTCATCCCCATGCTGTATGTTAATTCTGTCAAATTTCCTCTTTCAGGAAGTCATCAGAAGGTCAAGATAACCTGTCAAAGCTTTATGTGTGTTGTTTGATTTCTTTTTTAATAGATCTCCAATGTATAATAATCACTCTCTCTGTTGAACTAGGTATTTCAGTGAGACTAGATGCTTCCCCATTTGTCAGCTGAAACTAGATAAATAGGAAGTCCAACCAATGTGTTAGATATTACTGGTTTTCAGCCTATCACCCAACTGATTTTCTGCTACCTGATTCTGAATTGAGGTGGTGAAGGAGAAACAAACAATGCAGCATCTCAAGGTCTTTTCCAACCCTATCTTCTAGGATACTCTGAACCTCTTGCTCTTGCTGAGGTAAAGACTTTGTTGCACCAGACTTACTTCCTAGCAAGGATACATTATATTAGCCCCCAAAATATTACTCTCAGAAAGAGGATGGTCTGTGGATGAAGCCATGTGTAACACACCCATCTTTACATGTCCTCCTGTCTCAAAGGCAAGTGAAATTCATCTGCTGTGGCAATGTGTATTTATAAAACTGGATTTGTGCCTTCTTCAGACCCCTAAATTGCTGAAAAGAGAATATGAGCTATTCAAAATGAGAAGATAGGTAGCAATTAGGCATATGAAAATACACACTGCTCCTGCCTGTGGTTTAATGGCTACCAGGAGGACAAAGGGGACCATAGCCATGGTGGTTTCATTGCTTTGATGGAAACTTGCATTAAGCCAGCAAACGCAAATGTAAATAAAATTTAAAAAAAAAGACTGCTTCTGTATATTGACAAAAAGGGGGTTCCAAACCCACAGGCCAAGGCTCTGGTGAGAGACGGTTACGTCTCATTTTAAATTTAAAAGAAAAAAAAAGAAAAGAAAAGAAAAGAAAAAAAAGAGAGAGAAATGTAAACTGTCAGTAACTCTGATGAATTGTGAACCTTTCAGAGGTGGCATGAAGGGTACTCAGGCAATTGGTCTCAGGGAGTAGGTAAAGCAGCAGGTAGATGAGAAGTTCAGGGATGTCCTGGTAACTCATCCACCTCAGCTGCTGAGACCCTCAGGAAAGGAAAGAGATGTTAGTGGGGCTCCAGCCCCCTTTCGCTGTCAGCAAGGAGTCCATGAAAATCCACTATTGCCCTCTGCTGGAGTCTGGGCTGCCGATGAGACTGGGCTCCAACCGGTGATGGAGGAGGCAAAGATCCAGGAGAGAGAGGCAGGGAGAAAGAGAAAGAGAGAGCAAAGATGAGAATGCAAAAGAGAAAACAAGGGGAGTGTTAATTAGTTCAAAATGAGCAAATGTATCACTATTTGAAAGTGTTGGATGAGGAAGGAAATGTGTAAGATATGAGTGGAATGGTAAAAATTAAAAGGGAGGGAGAAAGGAGGAGAGGCAAAACCACAACATTAGAAGAGGAAAGGAGAGAGGGAAATAAGCAAAAGAGAATAAAGAAAAGGGGAACAATGAGTAGGAGAAGGGACTGAGAAGGGAAAGATGGAGAAAATCCGTCTTGCAGAGTACATGGCTGAATGGTTGAATGAGTCAGGATCTAGGGAAAAAAGATAACCTTACTGTGTTTGGAGAGTAGAAGAGAAACATATACAGAAGAGTAACAGCAGGACAAGGGATTCAGGCATTCACAGCCAAAATGCCAAAGGGATATTTGTGATCACTCATAAAATGAGCACTATGCAGTGTGCTAATTAAAGGATAACAGCCTGTTACTGTTGTCTGTGCCCTGAGATGCTCCTCTGTCTCTGTGATGTGTCTGCAGCTCCAGTAGTAAGAGGCTACTGGAAAGTCTCCTCTGGGATACCACACTGACTCCAAATTAGTGATAGAACAGGGACCCTCTCTCATGGGAGTGCTATTGTCAAGACAATGCTGCTCATAGAGGTGAGGGACTCTCTTCAGCCAGAAATAAAGAGAAGACATGAGGATACGTTCACAAGGGTGTAGTGGAGGGGGGCTGGCTGTCTTGCAAGGGGAAGGACTCTGCATGGGTGCACAGGGGAAAGTAGGTAGATATGAAACAGCTGGAGGGAATGATTGCATCTCCACACATCTGATCTGGCCTGGTATTGATAGCTGATGGCACACCAAACATTGCTTCTCCAGATGCAATTGGACTGGGTGATAGAAAAAAGAAAACAGTGTGTCCTTGTAGATCTGCTCCTTCACAATGTTAAATGCAACAGTTGACCAATTGTAAGGTTTTTAACTTCACCTTCCTTCACCAATAGACTGTTTGTTATGTGATAATTCCAGCAGTTTATAGAATCATAGAACGGTTTGGGTTGGAAGGGACCTTTAAAGGTCATCTAGCCAAACCCTCCAGCAGTGAGCATGGACAACCTCAATTGGGTCAGGTTGCTCAGAGCCTCGTCAAACTTGACCTTAAATATTTCCAGGGATGGGGTCTCTACCACCTCTCTGGGCAACCTGCGCCAGCGTTTCACCACTCTTATTATAAAAAATTTCTTCCTTATACCCAGCCTATATCTACCCTCCCTTAGTTTAAAAACATGACCGACTCCCTGGGCTGAACAACCCCAGCTCCCTCAGCCTGTCCTCATAGTAGAGGTACTCCAGCTCCCAGATAATTTTTTTTGGCCTCTTCTGGGCTCACTCTAACAGCTCCATGTCCTGCTTGTACTGAGGGCTCCAGAGCTGGACACAGTAGCAAAGTAGAGGGGTAGAATCCACAACTCGCCCTGCTGACTATGCTTTTTTTAATGCAGCCCAGGATACAGTTGGCCTTTCGGGCTGCAAACGCACATTGTTATTGCCTGACCAGCTTTCCATCCACCAGTACCACCAAGTCCTGTTATCACAGCATATCTTGTTACCTGCTAATAGAGGTACTCCTTTATCTCAGTGGGCTGTGTCAGTGCTCTCTAAGTGTATAAATACAACATCCAGCTAGCTAATGAGCAGAAATGCTATTGAATTCTGTACCATCCTGAGTGCCCCTGATGAGCTGAAAAGCTCAAGGCCAACCATTTCTATAAGGTTTTCTGCACTTCCTGATGTTAGTTGAGACAGAAATACCATGAGAAGAGCATTTGACCTTTCCCTGATTGAACCGGAAAATGCAGGGGACGAGGAACACAAACATTGCAGATAACAGCAACAACGAAGCTCATCAAATTTGTTCCCAAACTACAAAATAAAAGGGTCAGACAGAGTTAGTTAGGGGGAAAGTCTACGCTTGCTCTGGCTTTATCTGAGGGAGCATGGTATGCATTCCTTTTCATCTTTTTGTCTTCCAGAATTTAAGGAAGCGTTCTCACTCTTTGATCGGACTCCTAAATCTGAGATGAAAATCACATATGCACAATGTGGAGATGTCTTGAGAGCTTTGGGGCAGAACCCAACCCAGGCTGAGGTCATGAAAGTGCTTGGCAGACCCAAACCAGAAGGTTGGTGTCCTTGTCTGTGTTTGTTTTGAAAAAGATAATTCCAAGAATTATTCGTGAAGCATTTCCATTTTCTGATGGAAAGATTAATTGTGAAATAACAAAGGATATCAACAGCCACTGCAAATCTCTAGCAGAAAAGTAAATGAGGGAAAAATGATCTTGCGGTCAATATAATTGTCTCAAATTTAGAAGAATGAATTAATTTAATGGCCCTGTGCATCTATGTTTTGACAATGCCAAGTTTTTGTCTTTTAAAATTGTTTTAATGACAGGCATTCACTCGTGCTTATTAAAAATGCAGATATTTTGAAGAAATCCAAAGAAACAAAAGGATAGACTGGTTGTGAGGGCACAGCTTGTTCTGCAAAAGTACGTGTTAGAAGGTCTGTAATGACTGCAGAAATATCTGCCTTCAACATTCATCCTACATGGGATATCTCTTGAGAACAAAGGAAATCTCTCTCAGACCTACATTGAGACGTTTTCTAGATTACTCTTCTATCCTCTCCTTCGATTAGAGATGGAACTGACAATTATCTGTCTATCTATCTGTTAAAAAGTCATATTTCTCTATTCGCTAGACCTCTTTCCCACTCTATACATTCTGTGTACACCTGTACTTAAAAAATTTCTGTGCTCTTAAATTTTAAATTGTGTGCTTAGAAATGTTCTCTCCCCTTTAGCTGGCGTTTATTGTCACAGTTCTGCTACCCTCATCACCTACCCATGGTGGATGTCCCTGGTTAGTCCTCAACTCTCCCAGAACCCACCAAAACTTTCCTTTCCATTGGTGTTTTCGTAGAGATGAACTCCAAGATGATTGACTTTGAGACCTTCCTACCCATGCTCCAGCATATTGCCAAGACAAAAGACACAGGCACCTATGAGGACTTCGTGGAGGGTCTGCGTGTGTTTGACAAGGAGGGGAATGGAACAGTGATGGGGGCTGAACTTCGTCACGTTTTGGCTACGCTGGGTAAAGTCAACCTTTCTTCATGCTGCTTCATCACTGAGGTTTTTCCCATACAGCTTGTATTATTAGGGGTAACCTTTATGAGGAAAACGTCTGGGAAAGACTTAAGGCATCACACTGTCCTCAGTTATAAGACTAAAAAAACCCTCTTTAATAATGAAACTAAAAATCTCTGACCTACAGCTCAAATATTTGTCTTTCCTTCTTTCTTTCTAGTGTTTTCTATTGTTCCAATAAATACTATAGTTCTATCACCATTAAAATATCCAAACATTGAAAACTCTATGTATTCCTTTAATATTTATCTCCATTTTTCTGCACCTTCAAGAAAAGTTTGAAGATGAAGCACTTTTTTGTCAGTCATCGTTTTAGCAGAAGTGTCTCTTTAATGAAAAGATACTGTTTTTTAAAGAGGGATCGATATTTCTCTGTCCTCTCAAATTTTTACTTGAGAAGCTCAGTTTTTCACAGAGAATGATGACAGAAGAATAAGTGCAGGACAGAAAATTTGGCTGTAACATAATGACAGGTTTCCAATTTGGATTAGAAGGCACTGACATGTTGTCATCTGAATTCAATGAGCATTTCTCAAAATCAGCCTTTGCTAAGTGCATTTGTCCACTATTTTTTTAAAAAAGGATAAGCCTTTCCAAAAAATATTTGATTTAGGTCAAAGGATTACAATGATGGGTTTTGATCTGGGATATCAATTCAAAAAGCCAAGCCTGTTATGCCCAGGGGTTTACATTCAATGACACATCCATCTGTGTTTATGGCACAGGGTATCAGAAAAAACCTCAATGCTATTATCATTTTTATCACTGATGCTATGGAATTGATTTGGGGACCAAATTCAGTGATGACAAAACAACCCCATGGGGTCAGGATTGTTTCCTTATCTAACCTTACCTGGGACAATGAAACCACTGTGGGCAGTTTTGTGAGCATCACAGTGCTATAAGAAATAGTTTTGTATTACCCTTCTATTTCCAGTAACCCAGATCAATGTGGCAATGTCTGATTTTCAAGCACTAATAGAAAGTATTTAAATTTGAAGAATTAACAGTTCTGTTTAGAGTGACATCTCTAAATACTGGCCAAATCCTAGCCATGGCCAAATATTCTGTAAGTTAGCACGTTTTTCTGTTTAATTTTCAAAGAATCAGTGTAATTTTCCCAGGTTCACGTCAGCTAAGGACTTGTTCCTGTTTGCCAGAACTCTGTGATGGAAAAGTGGAACAACATGAGGAGCAGGACACATGCAATGCATTTTACTTTCTTTTCATTTCTATGATTTCAGATGAAATCATCCTCAAATTTCTCCCTTGCTTTTCTGGAACTCATTGGATCTCACACTAAAATCAGTGCCTAATATCAGAATAAGAAGGTGGATTAGGTTGACCTCTGCTTAACCAGAATGAAGCCTTACAGGCAAATAGGCATCTAATATTTAGATAATTGAATTAAATGGAATGGATCACTGATCCAAATCAGAGATCTTAAGTTTGATCTTGAAATCTTTCTGAACCTCAAACTCAGAGGCAAACTAGATAGTAACTCTACTGAGTGTGCTTAGTGAGGACTTGGTTAAAAAGTGACTAAAACCTTCAAGATTTGGCACTTAGAGAAAGCTTATTCTTAGAAGAATGAGTATGTGAACATAATATCATGTGGGTTTCCATATTTATTCTGCTTTTCTGGTTTTCAGATCAAATTTTCTCAGTTTGCAAGTTCAAAAGTGCTTTCCCAGCAGTCAGCACCACAAATTAAACTGAGGAGAGAATCTCCCCCTCCTCTCTCACTCTCTCTTTTTTTTTTATTCTTGGATACTTTGAACTGTGCTTTGTAAAGTCTTTAAAAAGGGTTCATGTACTAAACAGGTATTTTGCTTTCCACTCAGGCGAGAGATTGACTGAAGAGGAAGTCGATAAGCTAATGGCTGGTCAGGAAGATGCCAATGGCTGTATCAACTACGAGGGTAGGTATGGCCACTTGAGTCTCAGCAGTGGTCATGTGCTTGAAGGCTTTGTCTCAATTATCCTAAGAAAGTTCAAACCTGTACAATATCCAACTCTTAAAGATCAGGATACATGTTTTTCCAAATTTTAGACCAATTCAGTGTCTATAATCCACCTCATACACCCCATCTGTTGAAGTTTACTTGTATTTTCCATAGCTGAATGGCCATGGCCCTTTCAGAAAGTGGGGCTGTATATTCTCATTTAGTTTGACTTTAAAAAAAACTAAAACAAACTTGTATTATTTTCTCTACCTACTCCCACTAATCCTCGTCCTCTCAAAAAGAAATCTGAATTTCTTTTGAGACTTCCTTACAGAAAATAATTAATTTTTCCTTCAAAAACTCAGCAAAACATGTTATCCTTATCATCCTTCTTGGTGTCCTATGAATCCTATTCCAGTGAAAGGGAATTGATAAATGACCCTTCTCTTTCTCTTATTTCCAGCTTTTGTGAAACATATCATGGCTAACTGAAGGCCAGGTGAGTCTCTTCTGTCCTCTTTGCATATCCTATTATTTTGGTTTTGGCGTCTGAGATAAGCTTGAAGAATTTGTAAGGGATTAATCAAAGAGAGTGAATATTCTCAGCAGGCTGTGCAAGGAAGTAGGACAAGAATGAGTGAAAGGTTTTCTTCATCCTATCTAGTGCACAGAAAATAAATTACCTTTCCACAATTGCCTGGTAAATCTGGACACCTTTATTTTAGAAGTCCAACATAAGTCCATATCCTCAAGGGATTTGGTTTCCAAAGAACATGTGCTCATTCATTTGTGATTGACTGAAAACTTCAAAGGGTGTGTATTTTTCATGTCCACTTACAAGTCCTTGCTCCTAGACTTCTCCTCAAGAGGTAGAGAGATAAAATTGAGCTGATGAGAGAACGAGTGAGCAAAAAACACGAGAAAAAGTAGATAAGAAGGAGTAATGCATGCCTGTGTTGCTGAACCTACACTTGGAAGATAATTATTGGCCTTCCATAAATCTGGCTCCCAATGCCTCCTGGCAAATGGGTTGGTCTTCCAGGAAAAGACATGAGCTTTGTCCAACAGATCTTCTGGCTTTATGCAGTAATGTTCTCCAAACCACAGTGCCATTAAGGGTATCTCTGTCTCACCATTGCAAATGAGTTGAACTTCACTTCCAGTATTTCTCGGTCATCACTTACTTTTGTATTCCTGGAAAAGGTGCCCACTGTTTTCAACTGGCATTCACCATTATTTATCTCTGTTCAGCTCTTGGGGAAGGTCTGATCTGAGAGTTAACCAACTCCATCTATTCTGCAAAGTGTATGATAGACTGGGAAAAGCAGTGGCTTTCTTTAGATTTGTTCTGGTTGTTTTGGGGTTTGTTTGTTAGGTGGGGTTTTTTTTTCCTTCTGCTTTGCTTTATTTTTATGCTCTGTCCTGACCAGGCCTGGTTTTGTTTTACTTTTGAAGCTGACATTATTCCAGCCCACTGAGACCTGTCTGCTGTGTGGTGACTTTTGATTATATTCACTGGCACCCCAGGGAGAGAATTAAGCAGAAGTCACATCCAGGTCTTTGGGACTTTTCTTCCAAGACATAATTGAACAAAATGTAAACTGGTTAAAAAAGATGACTTTATTATTATTATTATGGTGCAGTTTTCTTTCTTAAAGGCATTTATCTTTGAACCTGCACTCAGTTTTCCAACACTGGCTCCCAATTTTTAATTCCAAAAATCTAGATTGGCCCACAGCCATAGTGGGTAATCCCACAGCTAGCGTGATCCTTACTTGTTGTTTAGAGATATTTTTTAATCCTTAACTCCATTCTAAATCCACTGCCGTGGGAAATTCCCATCCCAATGCCAAAAGTCTTTCTAGCCACCTAAAGCAACATCTGCCACTGAAGAAGGCAAATGAGCAGTGGCAAGCTGTAAAGCTGGCACAGCATTGGGAGCTGCAGCATAAGAGCCAGCAAGAGTGTCTTTGCTTATGATGGGTTTGGAAAGGGAACTGAGAGCTTCTGACTCATGGAGAACCAATATGCCACTGATTTGCCAATGAGCCATGATGGGCGTCATTCAGAGGTGGCATCTTCCACTCCCTGTTGCACTGCT